GGGGAGGAGGTAGCCAATCAGTGATTTGTATTTCAGAGAGGAAGTTAGAGGGAGAGACAGAAACGTCCATGATGAAAGAGAATCATTGATCAGCATGCCTGGGGTTTAGAGATCACCTTTCTTTCCTACATATTTATACTTGTCTCCTAGACCTGCTGTCAAGAGTCTTGACAGATGAATGGAATTTGAATGCAGCAGAATCCTGTTTCACTTTCTGTGGTTTCAGTTACCCATGGTCAACTGTGGTCTGAAAAAATTAAATGGAAAATTCCAGAAATAAACAATTCATAATTTTAAATTATACCCAGTTTGAATAGTGTTATGAAATCTCATGTAGTTCTGTTACATCCTGCTGGAATGTGAATCATCCCTTTGTCCAGCATATCCATGCTGCATATGCTACACACTTGCTGGCTAGCCACTTAACAGCCATCTAGGTTATCAGGTCGACTGATCAGAGCTTGCGTTCAAGTAACCCTTAATAATGTCTCATTCACCTCATTTCATCTCTTCACATAGGCATTTTATAATCTTACATCACAAAAAGGGTGAGTACAGTACAATATTTAAGAGACCACATTCACATAACTTTAATGACAGTATATTGTCATAATTGTTCTATGTTATTAGTTGTTAATCTCTTACTGTGCCTAATTTATAAATTAAACTTTGTTATAGGTATTTATGTACAGGAAAAAACATAGTATACACAGGGTTTGGTACTCTGTGGTTTCAGGCATCCACTCAAGGTCTTGGAACATATTCCCCATGGGTATGAAGAGATTACTATAGTTGGAGTATGGTGATGTGCATTCTTGTAGCAATAAAAGTTTTTGGTAGAGGATAAGAATGGAAAGGTAAGAGGTTTAAATGTGGGTTGGACTTCAATACCAAATCTGTCCTTTCTTTTTTTTTTTTATGCTGTGTATAAAAGATTCCTGAGCAGGAGAGAAGCCTTAAGAGGACACTGTTTTAGGAAGATTAATTGTTCGCTCACAGGATCTCTAAAGGAAGAGCGCTGTAGCCTAGTCCTCTTGGCCAGAAACCTTTTCTGTATTATTCTTCTGGAAACAGGTCATATGCTGCCACCTGGTGACGGTTCAAATACCATTGATCCACATAGCTATTAAATGTTTCTGCTGTGAAGAGCTCTGGCACCCTTGCAAACATACCTCCCACAGAGCCCAATGTAAAGTAGCTAATAAATAAATAGAGCACCGGTAGTAAATAGAACTAATTGAATAACGCCACCGTGCCAGATGTATCACCTGACCAGTAAAAGATTTAACAATAAGGAATTCCTTATACCTAGTTTAGCAGGAAGGTGAGTCTTGATGGAAGTTTTTTGGTTTTGTTTTTTTAAACAGATTCTGTTTGACCCAGGCCTGATCTCTACCATCCCACTCTCAGCAATCTCCCTAATGCTGTGGGGTAAAAACCAAGGAATGCCTTATTTGGATATCAAAGGCCATTCTTCATGACCTGTCTGCCACTTATTTCAGGAACTTGAATGCACCCCATAAAGGAAATCGTTCCTGCCATCAGTCTTTTATGATGCTTTTATTTCAGATAACTGTTTCCTCTTCCCAGCTGGACTGCGCTAAGAAGTGGTACTTTTACATGAGCCCACCGTATATCTTAGCTCAGGCTAAATACACACTAGAACTGGTATGTATTGCTCAATAAACATCAACTTGGATGAATGGCATTATCGTTTGGCTATATTTAGCAGTGGAAGAGATCTTATGAGACCTCAGTGAGATGCTATTGCTACTAAGGAAATCCTGAACTGCATTGTCTAAAATACAAAGCTCAAGTAAGGAGAAAGTAATGTACCCATAGTCTACCTAGGAAAATATATTTTCCAGAGAGCAACCAATGGTGGAAGGATCAGAACCAATAGCCACAAAACATTTTTTAATATAATAGGAAATATCAGAGGGCATCACTCCTAGTAAGCATAAGTATTAATTTCTTACTGGAGGTCACAGTCAAAAAAAATTGTAAAACCATTGGATTAGAGGCAGAGAGACTGAAAGGAGAGCAGGAAGTAGACTGCTTCAGCCTGGACTGCTTACAGATGAAGAGGTGTGGAAGGGCTGGAGTAAGCCTCAAGAGCAGAAATGGAGACAAGGAGAGAAAGCCTCCTATTACGGTCCAGGGCCCACTAAAATGTCTCCTCCTCCTCTGCATCCCCACAGCAGTACTGCCCCAGAGCACTGTCCTACCTCTCCCACCAAAATGAGAGCTCCTACCTCCTTCCAAGTTCTACTGAGCACAGGGTTTGAATTCAGAAGGTACAGATATAAATGTCTATGAACTTGGATTTCCGAGGGAGAGGTGGTAGGAAGTAGTCATGTTACAGGAGGAAGAAAAGGTACAGCTGAGTCTATCCCATGTGGGTGCTGATTCACAGAAAACACATCAGGGTGGGTTAAGCCATTTTACTGCAGTTGGTGGGCAGGTGAGCAGGCAGTGACAAGCCTCAGTAGGGAGGGCAGAAACCAGCTAGATCAAGAGGGTAGGGGCAGGGAGCCCAGAAACCGGGCCTTGGAGGGGAAGGTAAGCAAGGACTTTATCCTACTACTCTTACATGTCCTTACAGGTCACTCAGGAGTATCTTGGAGCCATTAAAGGATAGGTCCTCCTGCTCAAGGCTCTGGACCTGGAGCTGAAAGTTGCTGGGTTCCAGGTTAGAAAGGGTACTCTTCTGGAGATCTAAGAGGAGAGAAAGGAAAGACGGAACAAACCATCAGCAAGCACTGGGCTTGTCTGTTGGAGAAGTACATATAGGCCTGACTTGGGAGAAGTAGCAACAGAGGTCGATGGATTCACAAATGAAAAGGCAGAAACTCCATACTACCTAGTACCAAACAATTAGGCAGGTGGCATTCAGGCATCATTTAGATTCAGCCTTCCCCACAACTGGGATCCCTGCCCTTATCCTCACCCAGCTTCTTTAAAAGTTCCCAGCTACTGTTGTTGTCCTGATGACTGACTTCAGAGCTAGATGAAGAAAGAGACATGGCAAAGGTGGCAGCCAGGGGTAGCTTCGACTCAAGGACGTGAACAGAGGTCCTGGAAAGGGAAAGAAATGGTGATGGTGGGTCAAAGAGGCCCTTCCAGCATGGAACTGTCCTCCTTCCTGAGACCAAAACTCACAATTTATCTTCCAAACATATAGATACCTCACTGACTCCTTATCAAATAAAGAATGCCCAGTACTGCCCTTTTGGGCTGTAACCCAGATATTTATGCTGCCCCTATTGGCCCATGTCAAATATAGGATAGCTGAATTTTGGTCCCCAATTCCTGGCCTCTTACGACAAATCCCTTCCACTGACACAGGTACCCACACCCCCTGACCTGAGGAGGTCATGCTCCCGCCGGGCATCCTCAGCCTCTGTCCTGGCAGCCTCCTTGCCCTCCTGGCCTCTCTGCTGCTGCTCCAACATCTGCCAGATTATGGTCCCAGGTAGAACCACACCTCTCCCTCTCCAGGAGAACCCCCCTCCCCATAACTGGAGGAGAGGGCTTAGGAAGAAGAGCTTTGAAGAGAGGTGAAGTCATCACAGGAAGAGGAAGAGATAAGGATGGGAAAGGTATCCTGGCCTGCCTGCAGAACAGGGTATAGAGAAGGGAGGGGCCACAACAGGAAGTTATGAAGGGATAAGTTCAATCCTGGTCCTACCTTCCAGCTTCGGACTTGAACTTGCTGCCCCTCAGCCATCTGTTTCAGCATCAGCTCCTGATGCTGGGCTGCAGATGAAGGAACATGTAAGAAGGCTGTTCTCTAATGTCCAGCTGTGGGCTCAATCCCCAGTGTGGGGCATGCAGGAGGCAGCCGATCAATAATTCTCTCTCATCAGTGATATTTCTATCTCCCTCTCCCTTCCTCTCTGAAATCAATAAAGATTTTTTTTTCTTAAGAAGAAGGCTGTTCCCCAACTTCTTTACTTCTTCCTCCCTGCCCTGTTCCCAGTCTGGTGCTGAAAACTAAGATAGACGCATTCTGGTCCAGCTGATAGCCAAGTTTCCAAGCTGACTGGGGAGAGTAGGATCACACATTTGGAGGCAAGACAAATACTTGGCCAGACTTCTGAGTAGCTCAAGCATTTAGAGCTATGGCCATTTACTGGGAGAATAAGAAGGCTTTCCAGAAAAGAGGACAAGCGAACCTCCCTCCGTCTTTTACTCACTCAGCTGATCCCGCAGCAACTTCAGTTCCTCCCTCAGGACCTCTGACTCCTCCCATAGCAGTTGCCTCCTACAGGGATGACAGCAGGTTCATTCTAAAAAGCCAATCAAGAAACCCAGAGGAGGCTACCAGAGGACCTGGAGTTCAAAGGCCTGAAGAAGAGGCTCGCCATCACTTACTCATTCTGCCCCTCTTGGTGAAGGCCACCGGTAACACTGCACTTTTGTGGACCTGCTTGTATTTGGGCTTGGGCCTGTTCCTGCACCTGGCTTCGAAGGCCCCTCAGTTCCCTTCTCAGCCGGTCCAGGCATTGCTCCAGGAGAAGAGTCTTCCGCTCTGGGCCCCCCTGCAGCAACTTTAGTGATGCTATAATAGGACAAGTTGGGGGGTCAACCCCCCTAAGAACTTCACACATGAGCCTAGAGACTCCACTGTGAATCAAGATACAAATGCACACACAACAGATGTGCAAAAAAATTGTTTGCATATGTATGAGGCTTTGTGTATGAAGAAAAGAACTGGCCAGATACCTTCCAGGGCACAGATTTGGTACTTCTGCTGCTCTTGCTCTTTCAGCAGGCCCTGCACAGCTTGTCTTAGTGCCTCAGTCACCTACCCAGGCAGAAAACCACATGAGCTACTGTGATACCCCAACTCCTGATATCCTTGTCTCACACAAACACTACATATACACACCTAGGATTCCAAGCCTCACCTGACCCTGGGATCGTAGCTGGGATCTAAGAATAGTAACTTCATCCCGGAGAGAAGATGTCCTATGGACCTCAGCCCAATTTAGCCTCTCTGGAACAATAGGAGTCTCTAGAGCCCAAGGCTGTTGAGCTTGGGCTCCTGGTTGGGGAAGCAAGTGATTAGGGGGAATCCAGGTCCCAGTCAGATCTCCTGCTGCGGAAATAAAGGACAAATGCAAGACTTAGCGCGGGGGCGGGAGGCGGGGGGTGTTGAGGGGGATAAGAAGGGACAGATGTTTGTTCAAGAAAGGAAATAGTTGGACACCGGAAGGAATAATGGGTGGTATAAGCACTGGAAAAGGAAGATCCTGAAAGAGATCTTCCTGAAAGGAAGAGATCCGGAAAGTGGGTAGAAAAGGAGACCATACTTACCTGCAGCAGAGACGCCAAGGGGATACAACCGCTGCTACAATAGAAACACGTGCATGTTCAATGAGATTTGTCTGAGTCCCATAACCCACACTCCCAAACCGGGGGGCCTCACTTCCCCTTACCTTAGTCCTGGCCACATTTCCGTCAGTAGCATTGAGAAGCGCATCGAGCTGCTCAGACCAGCTCAGGTTCATACCCACAGCCTACGGCAGGGGTCTGTCTCCCTGGCGTCTTGTGTCCTTGCTCTCCCAGCACCGAACAACCGACGCACAACCCAAGAAAGGCCACAACGTCAAATTGAAAGAGGGAATACTAGGGGTAGGGATGCAATATCAGACCAAAACTACGCCTCTGGGACTAGTCAGGGGAGAAGCGTACTTGGGAAACTGGGGGGGAAAGCGGGATACCCTCATATGCACATATTAGGAGGGAGTTTAAGGCGCCGAATCTTGGTTAAGACCTTCCCAGACGCAGGATACTGGCGCCACCACACCGATCCTAGGCCAGCTACTACTGCCGCCGCAGCGTTCAAAACGTCTAGTAGGCCAGGAAAGTCTGACTTTGGACTGGCTGCCGCAGCGCCATTTGGGAAACCGAGTTCTCGTCTCGCGGAAACAACCCACGATGGAGGCAACCGAACTACGTTTCCCTGGAGGCAATACGTGCACGTACATTCCCCCCCTCCGTGAAGCTTGTCGGGAAACTGAGTCTTTCTGATTCTATAGTGGTTGTTTCCAAGGAACAAATGAACTACGTATCCCAAGATGCATCGCGCAATGTCAACTGTGTCCCGCTACGGGTCCCACACTTTCTTGGGAAATGGAGTCCAAGCTGCCCTGAAAATTAACGGTCCCAGTTATTCTGAGACTCCATTCCCCAGCAAGCTCAGCGTGTAGCATACAGCATGGAGCCGCAAGTCGCTGAGCTGAAGCAGAAGATTGAGGACACGTTGTGCCCTTTTGGCTTCGAGGTTTACCCCTTCCAGGTTGGTTTCTCTCTCCTGCGGTGCAAGGGTGAGGTATATGATTGGTCTCGGCGCCACTTGGCGAGAGACCCTTAAGCCTCCTGGTCTTTTCGGAGCTCCTCTAGTCTCCCGGGACAGAACGGCAAGTGGGGCTTGGGTAGGTAGGAGCTGTCGCTGATCCAGTAACCTTGTGGCTGTCACTTAACATAATCGACGGGAAGAAAGGCACTCAGGGGCCAGAGTCATTTGGGAAGTTTTTTTTGTTTTTGTGTGTGTGTGTGTTTTTTTTACAGAGAGGAAGGGAGAGGGACAGAGAGTTAGAAATATCGATGAGAGAGAAACGTCGATCAGCTGCCTCCTGCGCAACCAAGGTACATGCCCTTGACCGGGATCAAACCTGGGACCCTTCAGTCCGCAGGCCGACGCTCTATCCACTGAGCCAAACCGGTCAGGGCCCATTTGGGAAGCTTTCTGAAGGAATTAGAAGAGGGCAAGTCTTGGACGGTTTGCATGGCTAGGATTTAGGTCACTTGAAAAGGAAAGGGCATTCCCGCTGTTGAACAAGCAAACAACTGGCCGGTTTGTTCCTTCCAACAGAAGAATAAGTCATAGTGTTGCCAGTCACCAGCCACTGGGTTGGGTATAGCAACCGCACCCGACTGACACACAAGTCTTGCACCACCACCTTCCCTTGTTTATGTAAGTTCGTTTTCTCCTTATCCGGTGCCCCCTCCATTGACCTATATACTTGGACAGAAAGCTAAATCAGCTCAGCTTGAACCCTTTGCTTGTTGCTTAAGTGTGGAAGACCACCTATTGTCTTCACTAGCTGATAAGCGTAGACAGAGAACCCCTTCGAAGGCTGGGTACCCTTGAAGCCCTAGCAAAGGTCAGAGCTGTGCACCCAGTCAGGCCAGACCAGGGGTCCTCAAACTTTTTAAACAGGGGGCCAGTTCACTGTCCCTCAGACCGATGGAGGGCCGGACTATAGTTTAAAAAAAAACTATGAACAAATTCCTATGCACACTGCACATATCTTACTTTGAAGTAAAAAAAAACAAAACGGGAACAAATACAATATTTGTATTTGCATGTGGCCCGTGGGGCTGTAGTTTGAGGACCCCTGGTCCAGACAATGGTAGCTGAAGCAACCTCCCCACCTTTAATCATGTAAATCCTTATTGATAAGAATAGTCTGTGTGTCACTGGAACCTCCCTGCCTAAGGGCTATACTATGGGTGGATCCCAAACCAAATAAAAGGTTGGTGCAGCCTGAGCACCAGTGGAAGTCCTCCTTGAGTTGGACTTGCCTGCCTGGCTCCCCAATATTTCTAAATTATCTCATGTCTCGTGTCTTTTCTCTTTCATTTGTCTGTGGCTCCTCTTTCAGATCCTGAACCCTGAACCACGTGGGGACATGGAAGGGAAACATTTTACAACACTTAAGAGACAATCCACTCTCACCCCTTCTGCTGAGTGGCCCACAGCAGTGCTAGGAGAGGTTATAGAGAGAGGGGATAGGTTGGGTCTAGTTTGAAAGAGAGGACTTTCCAGAAAAAAAAAAAAATGGAGTTGAGCTTTATATGGAAAGATAGATTGGTCCCAGCCAGTGTGGGTGAGTTGGTTGAGCATCGTCCCATGCACCAAGAAGTCATCAGTTCAATTCCCAGTCAAGGCACATGCCCAGGTTGCTGGCTCAAACCCCAAAGGTGGCTGATCGATGTTTCTCTCTTTCTCTAAAAGTTAATAAAAGCATTTTTAAAAGATAGATTGGAAGGAAGGAGGGTTATGTACATGCCAAATATCAGGAACAGCTTGAATAAAGGAGTTGGTGGGTAGCAGATATGGGGGGACAGAAAGGATGCCTATCTGGTGGGTCAAGTGGACTTGGATAGTTGGAGCTATTGCACTGAAGCTCTGCCAGTCATTCTAGGCTCCTGCTCTCACTTCCCCACCCCACATCCAATCGGCCACCAGGACCTTTAGGAATCTGTCTCCTGAATCCCAAATCCATTCTCTTCCATCCAATTTATGCTCTAGTTCAAGCCATTTCACATTTGGATTTATTGCAATAACCTTGCTGTCATTTTGCCTCTAACGGTTCGAGTCTAACCCATCCTGCACACTGCAGCTACATTAATCTTTCCCAAAACTGATCATGTCAGTTTACTCCTTAAATCTTTAGTGACCTGCATTATTACCAAATTAGATCCATATTCCCAAATTGGTATCCAAGGCCAGTCACAATCTCACTCCTACTGATCTCCAGCCTGCTCTCCCTCTGCTCCCTTCTGCAGACCTTTCAACTCCACTTCTATCAAACTAAACAATTTGCAGTTCTCCAAATGTGCCCTGTACTTTGCCTGACATTGTTTATGCTGTCATCTTTTAGAATATACACCAGATTCTTTCTCCCTCCCCACATCAGTCTGTTAGCTTCCCTCCCAGCCTTAAAGACTCAGTTTCCAAGAAGCCTTTTCCAATTTCAGAGGACTGTCACCTGGCCCTGTCGTTGCACCAGTCCAGTCAACTTTTTTTTTAAATATATTTTATTGATTTTTTTACAGAGAGGAAGGGAGAGGGATGGAGTGTTAGAAATATCGATGAGAGAGAAACATCGATCAGCTGCCTCCTGCACACCCCCTACTGGTACATGCAACCAAGGTACATGCCCTTGATCGGAATCAAACCCGGGACCCTTCAGTCTGCAGGCCGACGCTCTATCCACTGAGCCAAAACGGTGAGGGCAACTTTTTTGTTCTCAGTTGTTCATTAATTCCCTCTCTATTCTAAACTTCCTGTCAAATTCAGACAAATCCCCCATAAACACTCATCACAGAGCATCATTAGAAATTCAATGATTGAATGAATAAGATGGAGGCTGAGGCATGATATATGAGACCTTGAATGCCAGATTAAGGTATGTATATGTATTTTCTGTTCCAGGTGGCATGGTACAATGCAGTCCTGCCTTCAGCCTTCCACCTGCCCCTGCCAGGACCTACCCTGGCCTTCCTGGTACTCAGCACACCTGCCATGTTTGACCGGGCCCTCAAGCCCTTCCTGCAGAGTGGCCACCTCCAACCACTGACTGACCCTGTGGACCAATGTGTGGCCTACCACCTAGGCCGTGTTAGAAAGGTGAGCAACATTCATATCCTCTCCCAGCTTCAAACCTGCAACTGCTTCTAGCTACTCCAAGCTCAATGCAGGACTAGACCTAAGGTTAGGAGCCACTTCCATAAGATGAAATACCGCCCAGACATTGTGATCTCTCCCCATTCTCCATTCTCAGTCCGAGTCACTTTCCTCTAGCAGCCCCCCAGGCCTGAAATCAGTCTCACTCACCCTACACTGATGGGCAACTAAATGAACCTCAGACCAGATTTCCCTTGACCTCCAAGTGAAATAGGAATAACATTTCCCAGGCATCTCTCACCTGTCTTTGCCCTAGACCTAGAAGTTTTATGCTGTCTTTGGGGCCTTTTAAGGACAAAGCAGTATTTCCCCACCACACACTCACATGTACATATTTACATATATTTGCATACACCGGGTCTCCCATGTCTTCCTCCACACTGGGACTCTGGAGGGCAGAGCCAACTTACCTCTCAAAATGGAGGTTTCTGAGCGAGACCTTCAGACGTGGGCCCTCCTGGACAGAATATCATTTTCTTCACACGGGGCCCCCCTTACTCCGTTTGAGGTTGTTTTCCTTTCAAATATGACTTCTGAGGACAGGACCTTAACACAAAGTAGGGCTCTCTAGGACAAGGTCATGATTCCTGTCATGCTGAAAGAAGCCTCCATCTTGTCCTCCGTCCCAGAGCCTCCCAGAGCTGCAGATTGAAGTTATCGCTGACTACGAGGTACACCCCAACCGGCGTCCCAAGATTCTGGCCCAGACAGCAGCCCATGTGGCAGGGGCTGCTTACTACTACCAACGACAGGATGTAGAGGCTGACCCCTGGGGAACCCAGGTCAGAGGGCAAGTATGAATGACTAGGCAGCGGTTCTCAACCTGTAGGTCGCAACCATCGGAAAACACATATAGCATATCAGATATTTACATTACGGTTCATAACAGTAGCAACATTACAGTTATGAAGTAGCAATGAAAATGATTTTATGGTTGGGGGTCACCACAACATGAGGAACTGTATTAAAGGGTCGCGGCATTAGGGAAGGTTGAGAACCACTGGACTAGAGATTAAAAAAATGGTGAAGGCCATCAAGATATCAGGTCTCACATCCTTCCACCTCCTGTGGGAAAAGGAGTTTGTAGACACAATCCAGGATAACGGTATTCCCTACCCAGGAATCCAGCCCCATGTGCTTTCTGGAATCCCTAGTCAAATCAGAGAACCTAGCCAGTGGTTGGCAAACTCATTAGTCAACAGAGCCAGATATCAACAGTACTTCTTCAAAATAGACTCGCCCCGGCCGAAAACCGATTTCTGCGCATGGGCCACGAAGTTTCAATCGCACTGTACGTGCGCCCACATGTGGTATTTTGTGGAAGAGCCCTACTCAAGAGGCCAAAAAGCCGCATGTGGCTCAAGAGCCGCAGTTTGCCGACCACTGACCTAGTCTAGTCATAAAACTGTTACAAAATAGAGGGGGCAGAGCAGTGATTGCGTCAGTGGTGAGACTTTGAAATTGAGGCTCAGCTTAGGAAACCTCTCCTCATGGCCAGAGTGAGCTCATCTACAAGAGTAGATGAGGCTCACATGTGGCATCAGTGTCCATTGAGTGTGAATAAGTGAAAAAGCCTAGTTGCAGTGATAGTAGTTGAACTTTGTGTGAAGGGGATGTCCGTGACCTTGCTTTTCTTGACCCTCTCCCCAGCATATATCAGGTGTGTGCATACACCCCCGATTTGGGGGCTGGTTTGCCATCCGAGGGGTATTGCTGCTGCCAGGAATAGAAGTGCCTGATCTGCCACCCACTAAACCCCTCGACTGTGTACCAACAAGAACTGACCGAATCGCCCTGCTTGAAAGCTTCAATTTTCATTGGCGTGACTGGGCTTACCGGGATGCTGTGACACCCCAGGAGCGCTACTCAGAAGAGCAGAAGGCCTACTTTTCCACACCACCTGCCCAGCGCTTGGCCTTGCTGGGCTTGGCCCAACCCTCAGAGGAGCCTAGTTCTGCATCCCCCGAGCTTCTCTTTACCACACTGATACCCAAATCTCAGAATCTCAGCAGAGCCAGGGGGTGGCTCAGCCCCAGGGTCTCACCACCTGCATCCCCTGGCCCTTGATACCCTCCTCCCCTGTGAGATCCCTATTTATACCAGTGGTACTTGCTAAGACTTAACCTGGCTTTGGCAAGGCAAAGGTTTTATTTTGGCTAAAAGATGATTACTTTTGATAAAAGAATTATAGTAGAGATCTTCAATGAAGATAATGAGGCTCAGAAGTCTGGTCAAGACAGAAATCAAAGACTAATAAATCAATATTAGTTAGTATTTCAATAGGGAAAAAGACGAAGGCAGACTCTGAATTCCCACCTGCCTTGTCATATGGAATTATTGCCTGTTACCATTAGTCTACAGTGCTACATGTTACAAGGACAAAGGGGTATTTATTGCCTGTTACCATTTATCTGCAATGCTCCAAGATGTTACTTGATATAAGGCCTAAGGGACAACTAATCCTCTAAGCAATAATATAAATAATGTATCATAGTGTTGTTGTGTGAACTGAATACATGTAAAACATTTCTGAAACAGCCTAGCTTACTGCAGTATTATCAGCTGTTCTTATGTCTTGATGTCTGGTAGGCTGGGGTAGCTGATAAAAACAAGTGTATGGAAGGTCACCATATAATATATCCTCAGTTCTGAATCTGCCCTAGCTTTAAGGGCCCAGGAGGTACCCCACCCCCCACCAATACCTCCCTCAGGACAATGATATGAATGAGGGCAAAAAAAAGGACTACCTCAAATCAAGGTTAGAACCCAGGGGAGGTGAGAGGTGTTCAACCTTATGCTTTTGATTTGCAAGGTTCTATCCTACAAATACCAACACTGTGCTTATCTTCTCCCCCTTTCAGTTATAAAGTTACAGAGCCTCTAATTCTAATCTTTTACAAAGCCAGTAGCAGATTTTCATCAGAAGCTAATCTTCCCTGGGCCTGGTGGCTCAGTTGGTTGAACAACTGTCCTGAACACCAAAAGGTTGCAGGTTTCATTCCCAGTCAGGGAACACAGAGATTGCAGGTTCAGTGCCCATTCAGGGCACATGTGGAAGACAACTAATCAATGTTTCTCACATTGATGATTCTCTCTCTCCATTCCCCTCTCTATAAAAACCAATGAAATCATATCCTTGAGTAAAGGTTTAAAAACAAAAACACTTACAAAAAAAAAGGAAGTCAATCTTCAGGTTCTCGTGCAGCCCTCCCTAAACTATAAAGAACAAATGCCCAAGTAATCAATATCATTGGTGCCTTAAATACAATGCAGCCTATAATATAAACATAAGTACCTTGAATAACACCAGAGCAGGTCTTGCTCGTCTACCCAGATATAACAAAAAAAAAAGTTAACACCTTGCCCAGCTGGTGTGGGTGTGGCTCAGTGATTGAGCATTTACCCATGAAGCAAAAGGTCAGTTCAATTCCCAGTGGGCACAAGCCCAGGCTGCCAGTGCAATCCCCAAAGGGGCGTGCAGGAAGCAGCCAATCAATGATTCTCTCATCATTGATGTTTCTATCCCTCTCTCTGAAATCAATAAAAAAAATTTTAAAAAAATTAAGTTGCCCTGACCGGTTTAGTTCAGTGGATGGAGTGTCGGCCTGTGGACTGAGGGGTCCCAGGTTCGATTCGGTCAAGGTATGTGCCTTGGTTGCGGGCACATCCCCAGTGGGAGGTGTGCACGGGGTAGTTGGTTGGTGTTTTTAACTCTCTATCCCTCTCCCTTCCCCTCTATAAAAAATCAATAAAATATATTAAAATAAAAAAAATAAAGTTAACACCTTGGTTCAATTCCATTCCCTGTGTCTTGCATTTCCCCTCTATAATTTCATTTCTGAAGCAGCTCTCACTTATTTTCCCCTAAGGAAAGCAAAGAATAAAGGAAAGGCTAATGCTCCTAAAACGAAGAAACGGGGATAGGGAAGGCTGGGGGAAGGTCAAGTGGGGGAAAAAAAAAAAGGGAGACATATGTACTACTCTTTGTAATACTTTAAGCAATAAAACAAATTTTAAAAAAATAATAAAATGAAGAAACAACAAGGTCTCATTTCAAGTTTAATAGAAACCGCAAAAGATCAAAGGTGACATCCCACTACTGTTCACATTAGATAATTTCTTCCAAAGGAAGTATGGCTGACCCTCCCCAAACCCTACAGGAAAGGCCACATCTGGGCTAAGTCTAAGATCTTGTTTTAAGTATGACAATAGTAAAAGAGAGGTTCTGTTCTCATGGCTGTACATTGTCGCATGACCCTATAATGACCCAGTGCTCACTTCTGCTTAGAGAAATATTCTTTGCTCTTCTGGACGTCGTTTCCAGCCAGCTGGGCACACTGCAAGAGAAAGTTACCACTAATTAGTAATTTGCTCAGTGGTGAGCTCTCATGAACAAATGGATTCCTCAAAACAATCTGAGCCCTAAAGAGCCTGTAATGAGCACCAGGAAGCCTAACCTACAGTCTAAGATCATAAGTATAAAAGCCTTTTAGTGCAAGGCTAACAACAAACATGCAATTTAATCCTCTCTATAGCCCCATTACTATTATACCTAGTTTATTCATTCAGCCCCTGACATTTATTTTTAAAAAAGCAATAGCTTCAACTGTAGGCTTTGTTCAAAAAGAACCTAAAACATGTGAGGCAAGATTTGTTAACAGTAGATAGTAGATAAAGGGGTACTCATGTTTTCTAGAATTTTATGTATGCTTCAAATGCATCTTTTAAAAAATAAGCTTAAATGCTGCTCTTAAAAAAAGTGGTGCTGCCCTAGCTGGTTTGGCTAAGTGGATAGAGCATCAGCCTGCAGACTGAAGGGTCCCAGGTTCTATTCTGGTCAAGGGCACATACCTGGGTTTCAGGCTTGATCCCCAGTAGGGGATGTGCAGGAGGCAGCCAATCAATGATTCTTTCTCATCATTGATGTTTCTAGTACTCTTTCCTCTCTCTCATCGTTGATGTTTCTATCTCTCCCCCTTCCTTCCTCTCTGAAATCAATAAAGATATATTTAACAAAAACAAAAAGGTGCTGGGACAGCTGATTTCCACGTGCAAAAGAATAACACTAGACTCCAAACTTAAAAAAAACTCAAAAATGGATCAATGGCCCGGCCAGTGTGGCTCAGTGGTTCAGTGTCAACCTATGAACCAGGTCACAGTTCCACTGCCAGAGTACATGTGCGGGTTGTGGGCTTTATCCCCAGTAGGGGGCGTGCAGGAGACAGCCCATGGATGATTTTCATTGATGTTTCTATCTTCCTAGCCCTCCTCCCTTGAAATAAAAACATATTACTTCCTTCCTCTCTGA